CCTGTCCCTGACTTTGTCCCTGTCCCTGACTTTGTCCCTGTCCCTGACTTTGTCCCTGTCCTTGACCTCATCCCTGATCCTGCCCATCTCTGACCTTGTCCCTGATCCTGACTCTGTCCCTGTCCTTGACTTTGTCTCTGACCCTGTCCCTGATCCTGACCTTGTCCCTGACCTTATCCCTGTCCCTGATCCTGTCCCTGACCTTGTCCCTGTCCCTGACCCTTATCCTGTCCCTGATCTTGTCCCTTTCCCTGTCCCTGATCCTGCCCCTGACCTTATCCCTGACTCTGTCCCTGTCCTTGACTTTGTCTCTGACCCTGTCCATGATCCTGACCTTGTCCCTCTCCCTGTCCCTCTCCCTGTCCCTCTCCCTGTTCCTCTCCCTGTCCCTTTCCCTGTACCTGACCCTGTCCCTGACCTTGTCCTTGACTTTTTCCCTGATCCTGACTCTGTCCCTGTCCATGACCTTGTCCCTGTCCCTTTCCCTGTCCCTGATCCCGCCCCTCTCCCTGCCTTTGTCCCTGTCCCCGATCCCGCCCCTCTCCCTGCCTCCAACCCCCGGGGCTTTGAATCTCCTCGGGGTCTCCTGGGAACACGTTTTGGGGCTGTTGACTGGGACTGGCTGATCCCAAAGGTCTCTTCCCGCCCCAATTCCACGATCCCAAAGTTCTCCACGTGCCGTTACCACCATCCCAATTCCCAGCTACGCTCTGTGTCCCACCTCCCCCCCTCCGGGGTGCCATTCCCACCCTCCCATCCTGAGCATTCCAGCACCATTCCCGCTCTCCCATCCCGAGCATTCCAGCACCATTCCCGCTCTCCCATCCCGAGCATTCCGGCACCATTCCCGCCCCCCCATCCCAAGCATTCTGGCACCATTTTCCGCTCTCCCATCCTGAGCATTCCGGCACCATTCCCGCCCTCCCATCCTGAGCATTCCGGCACCATTCCCGCCCTCCCATCCCGAGCATTCCAGCACCATTCCCGCTCTCCCACCCTGAGCATTCCGGCACCATTCCCGCTCTCCCACCCCGAGCATTCTGGCACCATTCCCACTCTCCCATCCTGAGCATTCCGGCACCATTCCCGCTCTCCCATCCTGAGCATTCCGGCACCATTCCCGTCCTTCCATCCCAAGCATTCCGGCACCATTCCCGCCCTCCCATCCCAAGCATTCCGGCACCATTCCCGCTCTCCCATCCTGAGCATTCCGGCACCATTCCCGCTCTCCCATCCCGAGCATTCCCGTTAATCCCCTTGGAGTTCCTGACAAGGCCATTCCCGGGCAGTATCCGCAGGAGGAGGCTCCGGGGCCGCGGATCCCGGCTCAGATCCGGGTGCGGCTCTGGTTCGGCCTGGCCGTGGACGAGAAGGAATTCAACCAGTTCGCCGAGGGAAAACTCTCCGTGTTCGCCGAGACTGTGAGTGATCCAGGGGGAGATCCCGGGATTTGGGCCTCCCCGGGGCGGGCGGCAGCTCCACGGGTCACGTCAATCCCTGAAAACTGGGAGAAGAGGGAGCCAGTTCCACCAACGTTCAGCCTGGAAGGTTGAGGAGAAAGTTGGGAATGAACCATAAATCCACATTGTCCCTTCACATCTCCATCCTCCTGCTGGAGGGGAGGGAATGAGCTGGACCCTGGTGAGGACAGGTCACATTAATCCCTAAAAACTGTGAGAAGAAGGAGCTGTTTCCACCAACATCCAGCCTGGAATGCTGAGGATCAAATTGGGAAAGAGCCATAAATCCACATTGCCCCTTCACATCTCCATCCTCCTGCAGGAGGGGAAGGAATGGGCTGGACCACAGGTCATGTTATTCCCTAAAAACTATAAGAAGAGGGAGCCATTTCCACCAATATCCAGCTTGGAGGGTTGAGGAGAAAGTTGGGAAAGAGCCATAAATCCATATTGTCCCTTCACATCTCCATCCTCCTGCTGGAGAGGAGGGAATGGGCTGGACCACAGGTCACGTTATTCCCTAAAAACTGTAAGAAGAGGGATCCATTTCCACCAACATCCAGCCTGGAATGCTGAGGATCAAATTGGGAATGAGCCATAAATCCACATTGTCCCTTCCCATCTCCATCCTCCTCCTGGCCAGGAGGGAGCCTGGGGGTGCCCATGGTGGGGTGGGGCCGGGGGTTGGCTTTTCCCAGGAGGTCCCTCCTCGGGATGGGGCCCCGCCGGGATCCTTTGTGGGATTCTGAAGGATTCCCGACGGGATTTTGTCACTCCCCCAGTACGAGAACCAGACGAAGCTGGCGCTGGTGGGGAACTGGGGCACCACGGGCCTCACGTACCCCAAGTACTCGGACGTGACGGGGCGGATCCGGCTGCCCAAGGACAGTTTCCGACCCTCCGACGGGTGGGCCTGGGCTGGGGACTGGTTCGTCTGCCCCGAGAGGACGTGAGTGGGACATTCCTGCTGGGGGAAATCCCAAAAAACGGGGCAGAACCCGGGATGGAGGTTTGGGGTGATGTAGGGGCTGAGCCTCGGGGCTCGTCCTGGAGCTCCACATGGAGAACCAGCCCCCGGAGCAGGGAAAAGGAGGTTTGGGATTGGGATCCCCATGGGGCACTGGCAGGGATTTGGGTCTCCAAGGTTTGGGATTGGGATCCCTGTGGGGCACTGGCAGGGATTTGGCTCTCCAAGGTTTGGGATTGGGATCCCCGTGGGGCACTGGCAGGGATTTCACGGGCTTTGGGATTGGCCTGAGGTCTCCTGGGATGCAGGTTGCTCCATGATGTGGAGGATGGGATGGGCAATCCCATGGGATGTCTCCTGGGATGCAGGAGATATGGAGGTGGGATAGAATCCTGTGGGATATTTCCCGGGATGCAGGACACATGGAGGGTGGGATGGGGAATCCCATGGGATGTTTCTTGGGATGCAGGTTTCTCTACAACATGGAGGGTGGGATAGAGAATCCCATGGGATGTTTCCCAGGATGCAGGAGACATGGAGGGTGGGATGGGGAATCCCATGGGATGTTTCCTGGGATGCAGGTTGCTCCATGATGTGGAGGGTGGGATGTGCAATCCCATGGGATGTTTCCCAGGATGCAGGTTGCTTCATGACATGGAGAGTGGGATAGGGAATCCCATGGGATGTTTCCTGGGATGCAGGTTGCTCCATGATATGGAGGATGGGATGGGGAATCCCATGGGATGTCTCCTGGGATGCAGGTTGCTCCACAACATGGAGGGTGGGATGGGCAATCCCATGGGATGTCTCCTGGAGTGCAGCTTGCTCCATGACATGGAGGGTGGGATGGGGAATCCCATGGGATGTCTCCCGGGATACAGGTTGCTCCATGACGTGGATGCAGGACACCTGAGCTTCGTGGAGGAGGTGTTTGAGAACCAGGTCCGGCTCCCCGGGGGGCAGTGGATCCACATGACCGACGCCTACACTGACGTGGTGAGGGAAAAGTGGGAATGCTGGAGCTGGGCTGGGAATGCTGGAGCTGGGCTGGGAATGCTGGAGCCGGGCACCCCCCGGGATGGAAGTCCTGGAGATTGGGGGGGGATTTAGGGATCCTTTTGTTGCCAACACCCCTGTGTCCCACAGAACGGGGAGAAGGTCCTGCCCAAGGAGGAGATTGAGTGTCCTCCGGGCTGGAAATGGGAAGACCTGGAGTGGGACACGGATCTCAACAGAGCTGTGGATGAGAAAGGTACCGGGAGCACTTTGGGGGCACTGAGGGACACATCCATGGGGGAACACCAGGGATCCACCAGCTGGACATCCCAGAGGGACACGTCCATGGGGAACCACCAGGGATCCATCAACTGGGCATCCCAGAGGGACACATCCATAGGGGACCACCAGGGATCCACCAGCTGGACATCCCAGAGGGACACATCCATGGGGGGCCACCAGGGATCCACCAGGGATCCACCAGCTGGGCATCCCAATGGGACACATCCATGGGGATCCACCAGGGATCCACCAGCTGGGCATCCCAATGGGACACATCCATGGGGGACCACCAGGGATCCGCCACCTGAACATCCCAGAGGGACACATCCATGGGGAACCACCAAGGGCCACCAGGGATCCACCAGCTGGACAGGGACACATACATTGGGGACCACCAGGGATCCACCAGCTGGACATCCCAGCAGACACATCCATGGGGAACCACCACGGGCAGGAGCAACAATCCGGGAAATCTCCTCGGATCCGGACACCCCTTCCCTGCTGAGGGTCCCTGGTGGGGTGGGGCCTCCTCACCGGGGTGTCTCCCGCTGTTCCAGGCTGGGAATACGGGCTGACCATCCCCCCGGATCGCCGGCCCAAGGCCTGGGTGCCGGCGGAGAAGATGTACCACACCAACCGGCGCCGGCGCTGGGTGCGGCTCCGCCGGCGCGACCTGGAGCACATGGACACCTCCCGGAAGGTGGGATGGGCCGGGGAGGGGGGTTGTCCCTGTCCCTGTCCCTCTCCGGCGTGTCCCCTGTCCCTCCACGGGGAGGTGGCTTTGGCACAGAGCTGGTTTTTCCCTGGAGTCGGGGGGTTCCCGCCTGGAGGGTCGGGGATTCCCACCTGGAATGGGGGCGGCCGCCGCTCCAGAGGGGCTTGGCGGGGCTCTGGGGCGGGATGGGGACATCCCGCAGTGTCCCCCAGCCTGTCCCTGCCCCGCTTCCCTCTAGATGGTGCAGTTGGACCGGGAATGGCACCGCGGCTGCGGCTCCTCCCTCCTCCCGCTGCTTCCCAAGGACACTTATCTCCCTTTCCAGCGCTTTTCCTGGATAACTGTGGCCGTGGGGAGCCCCTGGCACCCCGTTTGCCAAAGGGGGGGTGTGGGTGTCACGGGGAGGGGACGCAGCTCCCACCGGCTTGTGACCAGTGAGCCAGGGACACATTCCAGAGGTGGAAAAGCCAAGGGAAGGCTGGGGAGGTGGAGACCCTGGATGTGGCCCCCTCCTTGGTCAGCATGGGGACCCCCCCAGCCCAGTGACCCCGATCCCAGTGGGATTCACCGCAGGGACTGGGGAAGGGCTCAGTTCCCGGGGGGTAATCCCTGGAAGTGGGTAATCCCTGGAAGTGTCCCAGGCCAGGCTGGAGCAAACTGGGATAGGGAAAGGTGTCCCTGCCCATGGCAGGGGGTGGCACTGGGTGGCCTTTAAGGTCCCTCCCAACCCATTCCACGATTCCGCGATGATTTTAAGGGTCATCCCCAACCTGAACTCCATGACCTCGGAGGTCTTTTCCACCCTAAACATTCCTACGATCCTCTAAATGCTCCCATGACTCTATCCCACGATTCCAAGCCGGGGAGGCACGGGGAGGACACGGGGTGGGCGACAACACCCCGGAGCCCCCGAATCCATGTTTTTTTGCCGGAAAAGCCGGGTGGTTTTCCCGCTGTCGCCTCCAGCGGGGTCGGGGGTCGGTGGCACTGATCCCGCTGAGTGTCCCGGCGTGTCCCTGTCCCCCAGCACAAGCAGGAGGAGCTGGACGGGGAAGGCTGGGAATACGCGTCCCTGTTCGGATGGCGCTTCCACCTGAAGCAGCGCAGGACCGACTCGTTCCGCCGGCGCCGCTGGAGGCGCAGGATGGAGCCCCTGGAACGCACCGGGGCGGCCGCCGTCTTCGCCCTGGAGGGGGCTCTGGTAGGGACCCCCTTCCCTGCCCCAATTCCTGCCCGGGAATGGGGGCAGCCGTCTCAGGAGCTCGTTATCAGCCCCTCGTTATCACCCGCTCGTTATCAGCTCATCAGCCGCTGGTTCTCCCGCCCTCTTTGTTTCCCGACATCCCAGCTTTCCGGATTTCCCAATATCCCAGCTTTCCGAATTTCCCAATATCCCAGCTTTCTGGATTTCCCAGTATCCCAGCTTTCCGGATTTCCCAATATCCCAGCTTTCCGCGTTTCCCGATTCCTTGCTCTCCCAGTGGCTAAAGGAGACCCGGCCCCAGCACCACAAAGCTCCTGTTAATTGTTTTTATGGGTTTTTTTTTCCCCCCTCATTTGGCTTTTTCCCCTCTTTTCCCGCTCTCTTTGTGTTTGATCCCGGCGGCTCCTTTGGGGCTCCCGGTGCCGACCTGGTGGGAAGGTCACCCGTGGAGCTCTGGGATGCTGAGGGGGTTCCTCCTCTGCACCCCTGGACGTGCTGCTCCCTTTGTCCAAGTGTGGAATCTTATCCTTGAGCTCTGCGTGGAAAACCAGCAGCTCTTGGAGGGGGGAAGAAGTGTTGGAGCCTCCCTGAGCTCCCACTGCTCCCACCCCGGGGGTCCTGGTTGTCACCCTGCAGCCCTTGGGTGGGATTCCCAGCCTCAGAAATCCCTCCTTTTCCTTC